GTTCCCGAAGGATGCAGATTGCCCCGCCACTGCCTCTCCAACGACAGCCGCACGTGGCGCCGAGTGCGTCGCCGCCGCCGCCACCGCCAATGGCCGAGCATTCGGATGAGGCTGACTCTGCGGACCGATTGCCGGCCACCCAGCAGACCGGCTCGGCGGCAATCGGCCCGCGGGCCCGATCAGTCTCCCTCCCGGCGGACATGCAGTCACGCCAGCTGGCGGCCGACAACCAGGTGCTGGAGTCGCCCACGCCGGCAGAGCTGCACTCCGTCGATGTTGGCGGCGCAGTTGGACACAACAGGCCGGCCAGCCCGCCGGCTGATGGCCCCGGCCACGCGCCGGCCCCGACACAGTCCGCCATCGCCCGTTGGGCGGATGCCTTCTTTGCCCTGACGCCGGAGCGGCCGCTCCCCCCGCATCCGAGCCGCCAGCTGGCCCCCGGGCCGCGGGCCCTGATGGTTACCCCGCCAGCCGACGTGCCACTGACCGCGGCCCAGCAGCGCGCCATCCTTCGCGCCGTGGTCGAACAAGGCCCGGCCCCCTGCCGGAGTTACCGTGGCCTGCTGCTGGACATCAACTCCTCGATGATCCCGGTGCAAGAGTGCACTCGGCCCATGCGGGGGCCCTTCGGCGAGCAGAAGGCCATGGCAGCTGCCACGGCTGCCGCTGTGGCCGCCGCCTCGGGCCCTGCCGCGGCGGCCGGACCTGGCACCAGCCCGAACACCACGTCCGCGCCCGCTGGCAGCGGTCTGCGTGGATGGCTGGCCCGATCGCGCCGGCATTCTCTCCCTCCCGGGGCCGGTCTGCCCGGGGCCCTGTTGAGTACCGATGCCGCGGGTGGCGCGGCCGGCGGCGATGGCAGCCACCAGGGCCCCCCGGCTTTGGACTCGGCTCCGGGGCCTGGGGGCCTGCCGCCAAGCAAGGATAGCCTGGCCGCGGCCATTCCCCCCTCGCCCGGGGCCTTCCCTTCGCTGTACTTCCCGCACTCGGGCGTCGGCTCGACCCCGGGCCGGGCCTCGCCGCGGGCTCTCCCCCCCGGCGCGACAGCCACCACGGCCCCGGGGCCTGGCGACCCTTCGCCCGGTGTCTTCTCCTGGACCAAGCGCATGTCCAACTCGGCCAATCAGCGAGCCGCCGGCCTGGCGGATGGCCCCGAGGGCGCCGGAAACCTGGCCCCCCCGGCCGCCCCCTCCCCCGAGAAGCGACAAACCCTGCTGAGCATCTTGATCCCCGGGTCCCCGTCGGCCGGTGGCCATGCTCCCGGGGGTGATTGCTTCCTCGAGGAAAAGATCTCGCCTCTTCAGCAGCCCGGCCGAAGTGCCCTGACAGCGGCCACCGCCGGCGACGGCCCGCACATGCAGATGACCCGCCTTTTCGAGTCCCAACCCAGCCCCATCTACAACCAGAACGCCGGGTCTGCCGGGCCGATCGGTCGCCTGCTGCAGCTAGGGACAGACTACCTTCGCGATGTGCGCCAGGAGCGCATCCGCACGGTGGTTCAACAGCGCTTCGGGCCGCCCCCCACTGTGGGGGAAAGCCCCGGTGCCCAGGGCCCGGGAGGCGGCTCCTCCCCCACCCTGGCCGCCTCGCTGGTGGCCGGCCACGAGCCAGGCAGCCCGATGTCCCCCTCCCGCGAGCAGCACACCCTCCACGAATCCCTTTCCACCCTGTACCAGCACAACCGCCCGCTGGATTTGACCATGTGGCGCGGCTGGCTGGACATCGAGGCCATGCCGGCCATTCTGAGTCCCGGATCGCCGACTGGTCGCCGGGGAAGCTTTGCCTCGGCAGACGATCCATCCTCGCCGGAACCGTCTCCGCGCTCCCCACGGCGATGAGGGCCTTCTCCTCCCCATTTCCCCGCTCCCCGCTGTGCCTGCCGTGGGTGTGACACGCCGCCAGGCGTAGGAGGATCGAGGAAGAGGGAGGATCCACAATGCGCAGGGTTGTTGCCTTTTGCCATCCGAAGAGCACACCCGCATGCGTCCAATTACAATAGACTCCTGCAAAAAAAAAAAAGCTCCCCTTGTCCCTCCCCCCCAAAAAAAAGACATGAGCTTTCGGGGGGGGGGGGGTGGGGGGGGGGGGGCGCCCGACCACCGCGGAGGGGGGCTGCCGTGACGGCGATGTGGCAGCACGAGAGGAAGAACCCACATATATGGCAGGAAGAGGAGAACGCAGAGAGGGGGGCTGGCGAGTGAAAAAAAAAACTTGCCTTGGACCGGGATTGGTGTTCATGTGTGCAGGGGATGCCCCTCTCCTCCGGGGGCTGCCGTTGTCGGCGGGCGCCACATATACATGTGTATTCCGAGATGTATTTCCACTTCCCCAAACACACAGGGGCTCCCGCCGGAGGGCACACAGGCAAGACATGGGCGATCCAAATGCACCTGTATGGAAATGCATATGTCAAGAAATATATTCAGCGAGAGGGGATGCTGCTGGAGGGGGGGGGGGGGGGGGCTCAGAGCGGCGCCCGGGCAGCCCGCGGGGGGCTTTCCGTCTTGCCTGAGGAAATCCACCTGGTCACCTGCCGGGCCTGTGGAGTGTTGTCGGCACTCGGCAGGCCGGAAATCACCGACCCGATTGTCCGGAGCAGCAGCAATGTGAAGCCCCAGACAACATTTCCCGACCGGGACGAATAAAAGTCGTAGGATTGCATGGAGTACTCGCCTGGGTCAAGGCTCCCCCCGGGGAGGGAGGAAGCGGATGCAATGATGGCCGCCGCGTCCGATTCCGCTTCGGTGTCCGTGTCGGCCGAGGGTGGCAGGGGGGTCGGCGGCTGCCGCAGGGCATTGTACGCGGCGGCAACATCTGACACGGTGTCGGCCGGCAGGTTCCGGATCATGCTGTCGATGACATGCGCCCGCTCAACTTTGCTGGACCTGGCCGAGGCGGCGCCCTCGGCTGGTACCTCTTCGGGAAGTCGGATACGTCGCGGCGGGCCGACCAGGCTCTCGGGAAAGGAGCGCCGCCAGAAACGCTCAGGGGAGAACTTTTCCGGAGAATCCTGCGAGGCCGAGAACCGGGGCAACCGGGGGGGGCGGGGGGGGGTGAAAAGCGTGAGATCAGCAGGGGCGGGGGCAATGACATGCATGCAGGCGAGACACTTGGCCAGGTGCACACGCACAAGGAACACCCGCAGCGGGATCCAGAAGGTGGCGCTCACCTCGTCGGGATTAAAGCGTGGGTCGGTCTCCGGCGTGGCGGTTTCGTCGTACTGCAGGCTCCGCCAGAAAGCCGCGGCCGACTCGTCGGCCCCGGCCGACTCCCGCTTTGGCCGAACATACAGAACTTGCGTCGACACGTTCACAGACGAAAGCCAGTGATGCACGAAGGGCACCTGGCGCGCGATGACAAGGCAAGAGCAGTCGCCGTTGGTGCTTTCTTGGCAGGTGCAAATGTTCCGTTCAATTTCCGGCCGGGGGAGGGAGATCTCTTCCTCGGCTTCACGCTGAACACCACCGGCAAGGGAGCAGCGTCAGAAAGGGAGAAGGAGCAAGAGCGGGGGGGGGGGGGGGGCAGGGAGAGAAGATGGACAGGCATTCCACAGCCGACAAGAAGGGCTCACGCACCAGGGAGGCCGACAAGTAGCTCAAGTCGGTGGAATCGACGCGACCCCCGGGGAAGGCTGCCAGAGCGGGGGTTAATCCAACCGGCCAGAGGGGCCAAGAGGAAGGAGACAAAAGGGGCCCGAGTGGACGCACCTGAGTCACCGGGGTTGATGCGTAAGCGCTCCGATCGCCGGGTGAGCAGCACCACCAGCGGGTCTTCGTCCGGCGCGTAGCCGCGGCCATCCCCAAACTCATTGCCATTGACATACCCCACGTCGCTGGCGTAGGCGAGCAGCATCAATACCGAAGCCTCGCGCCGCCCTGCCAGGCAGCCCCAAGAGACATGAGCAGCAGGACACGAGGGGAACGGGGGAAGGAGGGGAGAGAGAGGGGGAGGGAGGGGGAGGGAGGCAAAGGGCGAATCAGAGGCCGCCCGGGTGGTGGAGTGGAAGCCCAGGACACAGGGGCTGTGAGGACGCACTTTCGGCTTGCGCTGGCAGTGGGAAGAGCCCCGGCGCCGGGGGCGGGAAAGCGGATCGAATGCGCTCCTCCAGTAGGCGGTGATTTCCCCGGACCAAGGGATCGGTGAAAAGCGGTGAGGGGGTTGGCTCTGGACCCGAGAGTGACACCTCGCCCGAGCCATGGGGCGAGGGGACCGAACTAATCATCCTCCAAGGAGCCAGCGGGCGCACGTAGGATCGGGGCGTGCCCGCGAGGAAGGACGGGTAACACAGCGGCGGAACGGTGCGGCGGAGAAACTGACCAGTGGCAAGCATGGCCCACGCGGACAGTGGGGGGGGGGGGGATGAAGAACGTGGCAGGAGGGGAGGAGAGGAGGAAGGCGGAGACGGGGCAAGAGATCGGGGACAGGGAGGAGGAGGATGGGGAAAGAGTGAGAGGAGGAGGCGGCGGAGGGGGAGGAGCATGGGAGACGTGGAGATGGCGCGTAGACCGGAGACGGCTCCGAAAATAGGCGCCCTCGTGAGATCGCGCGTCAAACCCATTCTCATCTGGGCCCAGATACAAGGGCGGGGGGGACGGGACTGCGGGCATCTGGCCGGCCCTCGGACGGGTGTGCGATGGGGGAGGCACGCTGCATCCCCCGAGCTGCAGCCATTGGGGCACACAGCCCGAGCAGACGCTTTGCCGGACGGGGAGGGGGGGAGTTCACAAGGGCATGTTCGGTGCCTCTACGCACAGGAAAGCACAGATTCCGGCCTCGACCGAGACATGCGCCCGTTGGCGGCGCACTCGCCAAGGAGGGGGCAGGACGCGGCGCGCGCACTTCCACCGACACATTGCCCGACCGCATCGCCTCGGGCACGCCCACACAGAGGACACCATACCTCGAGGAGGGCGGGCACGGGGTGGCGCGCGTACACAAACAACAACCAATGGAGATGCCATGCCGCGCATCCTTCCCTCAGCACACGCACACGGGCGCCGGGCCTGCTGCCGAGACCGGACCTGTGATCGCCCCTCCGCCCCCGCCGCCGTCCTCCGACCCCCGTTCTTCGCGCGCTGGCTCCCAACATCGACACGCCCCGGCGGCCGTGGAGATCCGTTGGCACCGAGATAGATCGGTCTGCGATGCCGGCAACATATGATCCCCGCAGACAGGCACGTGCTCGCACTTGCTACTCTTTCAGCATCATCGCGGCCCGAATGGGGGGGAGGTGTATTTTGTTCGGGCCACGCGCGCTGGTACTGGCACGCACCTCCTCTCTCCGCACAGGGGGAGGAACAGCGGGCAGAGACCAGACACATGAGCTGCTGTCGGTTCCGCTCAAGAGCCCTCCACGAGGGAGAGGGCACGAGGAGGGAGCCACACGGAGAACAGGCGGAAACCGTGGCGCCGACAGGGCGAGGGGGGGGGGGGGGGGGGGGGCAGGGAGTTCCAGGGAGCCGTCCTCCCCTTTAGGCAAGCTGCAGAATGACACTCTGGCCGTTGCGGTGGAAGGCGGTGGCAACGCAGTTGTCCATGCTGGTGCAGGCAACATCGTTGACGTAGACATGCGGGACCAGCGGGGCCTGGGTCCAGGTGAAGCCGCCATCCTCGGTCGAGGGGAAGAGCCCATTGAAGGTCTGGGGGTTGACCTCACCGCCGATGGCCCAGCCGTGGGTCTCGGAAACCATGGCCACCTTGAAGAGACCGGCCTCGGGGTGGGTGTAGGTCTGGTTCCAGGAGGCGCCGCCATTGTCGGAAACAAAGATGTGGCCGCCGGCCGGGCCCTCGGCCACGGCGACGCAATGGTCGACACTCGGGCAGTCGATGCCGTTCATGTAGAAGTTCCCTTTGCGATGGGGGGGGGGGAGGGGGGGGGGAGCCGGGGACAAGCCGAAATGCTGTGAGTGGGGCACGCCCAGGCGCGCACGCGAGAGGGAGGGCAGGCAGTGGGGGGTCCCCCCGGAGGGCAGCAGAATGAAGAGCAGGGAGGGAGACGCACCAACATCATGGAAGACGGTGTTGAAGGTGCGGCCGCCGTCGGTGGTCTTGGCAATGACACCCACGTAGTTGGCCAGGTCCTTGGCGTGGGCGGCCGGGTCGGTGGAGGTGGGCAGGTACTCGATGGCCTGGTTGCCGCGCACGGTGCGGAACTTGAAGAACTCGTTGAGCATGGCCGACTTGCGGGTCGGGTCGCGCGGGGCATGGTGCCGGGCACCACCGTGGTGGTGCTTGCCGGCCATCCGGCCGGAGGTGGACGTGGGCCAGGTACCACCGGTAGCGTACCACACATCATCCGAGGGGAAGGAGGCATACCGAATGGGGGCCTCCTCCAGCGGCCAGGTGGAGTCGGTGAAGGTCTGGCCGTTGTCGTTGGTCATGCGAATGCCGTAGGTCAGCGGCTCGCGCACATTCGGCGACCACATGCCCACCACACCGATGGTGCCGGAGGGCGTGACACCGGAGGCCTGGTAGCCAGCAACAAAGACCGGCTCGCCGATGGTCTCGAAGGTGTCGCCATTGTCCTGGGCGGCGGCCATGCCGTTGAAGATCTGGTACATGCTGCGATTGGGGGGGGGGGGGGGGGGGGGAGCGAGAGGGACTGGGTCAGGGGGCGGTGGAATGGGCCCACAGGGCGGACGGGCACCAAAGCCTGAGGGTGCGGGAGTTCCGACAAAGGAAATGCAGGCGCACCCGATACCGGCAGCGATACCGGTGGTGGTGTTGGTGTGGGGGTTATGGTGCATGGCCAGGGTCATGAGGGACTGAGGGACGGCAGGGGGGGGGGGGGGGGTTAGAGCTGGGAAGGAGGACATGCACACACACAGACACACAGACACACACACACACACAAGGATGGCCCGAGAGCAAGGACAGAGGGTACGTACAATCTCGTTGCCCGGCTTGATGTCCTCCCAGGTGGCGGCATTGTCGAAGGAGCGCATGATACGGGCGCCAGTGCCTGTGAGGAGAGCGGGAGAGAGAGAGAGAGAGAAGACGTTGGAGAGAGGGAGGGGAAGGAAGGGGGAAAGAGGTCAGTTGGTGAGAGGAGAGCGTGGGAAGGGAGAAACAGAGCCAAATGGCCAGGACACAGGGAGACCAGCATGTACCGTTGTCAGAGCCGGTGACATAGATAACGTCATTGGGGATGCTGACACCCATGGCAATGGTCATGACATTGGGCTGGGTGATCTGCCACTCGGCCTGCGGTGACGGAAAGAGCGGAAGTACAAGCGGGCGACCGGTCAGAAGGGCAAACATGGTGGAGGCGAAGCAGCGCAGCGAGAGGAGGCGAAGGGGCAGGGCAAGCGCACGGCATGAGCGGCGAGGGCACACAGGGCCAGGGTGGCAAGGAGAGAGGCGGCGAGGCGACGGAACATGTCGGAAAAGAAGGCAGGAGAGTTCAACCAGGCGGGGGGAGGCGTATTCTCGAGGTCCTATGGTGACCCCGGCTCCGGGCCGGCCCTCCGGCTCGGGGGGTTGGTCCTTTTCAGATATTCACATGTGGGGGGCAACGGTGCGCCGACGGGGGGGGGGGGGGAGCTGGGGGAACACTCGCGGCCACAACAGGAGAGCCGGGGACGGGGCTCGAAACGGCGGCCCGACACCGGAGCACGGCCCATCCGCCCAAGACCATTCACAAGCCGGCCTGCTAGCCGGCCCTCGGGCCGTGCGATCCCGAGGCCTTAGCCCACTCGGCCCCTTCGAGACCTTGCGGCGGTTGGCCGTGTGCCTGCTGTGGCCCAGCCCGCACCGAGGCTGAGGAGTGAGAAAAGGCCCGGCTTGTCCGACCACAACGGCCGGGGGCCGTGGCATCTTTTCCCTCGGTCTGGAGCCGAAAAAAGTCATCCCAAGCGAAGCCCGGAGGCAGTCCGGGTGGCAATATACCACCTTATTATTCCAGGCTTCTCAGGTTACTTTCAGACTCTTCCCAGGGCGAGAATGCCTGGTCCCACGGGCTTGGTTGCGGTGCCCGCGGCCGGGGGGGGGGGGGGCGAGGCCAGAAGCCTGCACCAACACACTGAGATGCCCCTACCCCCTGCGCTCCCTCTGCCCCGTACAGCCGTTGGCCCCGCGGCCGGTCGACGGGGGCGCGCACATACACACACACACACACGCGGGGCCTGGCCCAGCCATCGGCAGGAGGGGCTGGGCGAGGGAACACCGCGGGGCGCGGCCTCGGGCCCGGGCATTCGCGCGCAAGAATCCCACCGCGGGACTTGGTGCGAGGAAATAACAACAAACAATTCCGGAAGACCGGATCACGCCGTGCGTATAGCGATGTCACGCGACTGATGGCACAGATCTCGGTGAAATTGCCTGACGAACTCCCCTTTTGGCCGGAGGATTGGTCCCGACAGAGCGGACGGGCCCAGTTCCCCGGGTCTGAGCTGCACGGCGCGAGGCGCGAGTCAGGGCGGGGAGCATGGTGAAGGCGATCCTGCCGGCCTGACGCCTCTGCTGGGCCTCGGTTGGCCGAAATGCCCGCGCCCCCGATGGAATAGCTGTCCCGTGCGAACCTATCCCGCGTCCCCCCTTCCACTTCGCTCCCCTCCTATTACACTCACCCATTCCCCTTTCTCTGTCTCTCTGTCTTCCTCCCTCCCTCCCTCCCTCCCTCTCTCTCTCTCTCTCTCTCTCTCTCTCTCTCTCTCTCTCGCCCTCGCCCCCCGTCCCCGCCCCCTGAGAAGGATGAATGACCTCCCTCCCGCCTCCTGCAGCGCCGGCGGCGATGGCGCGCTCTGCGAGACGCCGGGTTTCCGTCGGGAACTGACCATTGGCGCGGTGTCCCTACTGTGTCTGGTCCTTGGTTTGTCCACCCTCTGTCTCCCCCCATCTCGCCTGCCTCCCTGCCTTCCGCCTCTGGCTGCTTCTTTCCTCCCATGTCCATAGGTGAGACTAACGCTGGTGACCTGGGGCTCGGCCGCCGCTCCCCCCCCCCCCCCCCCCACCCCGGCAAACAGGCTACTTAGCGTCCCGCCTCGACGAGCCCCCGTCCCAACCCCCGTCCCCCCCCTCCCAATCGGCCCCGCTGGTTCCTGTTGGCGGCAGTGCGACTGCTCCGCCCCCTCCGCGACAGAGCCGCGGCAATGCCTTCCTCCTGGCAGGGCTGCCCTCTTCCGGACAGACAACCCTGGCCTACCACCTGATGTATGGCCGGCCGGCATGCGCCGCGCGTCGTGACTCCGGCAAGCCAGCCCTGCAGACGGTTGCCTCGCTGGCGGTCCTGGACGCACGGGTCCAGCTGCCGGCCAGCCTGGACACTGGCACCGAGCCCGGCGTCCCTGGCCCGGCCATTCGCCTGCTGGCGGTCCCGGCCCGGCCAACCCTTCGTCCCCGGTGCCAGGAGTACCTGCGCGGGGAGGGGCTCGGTCGCGAGGGCGCTGCCTCGCGCCTTGGCGGTGTGCTTTTCACCGTGGCCGGCTCCACCATCCTGGCCCCCGGCACCAAGGGGGCCACCTCCTCGGTGTCCATCGAGCAGGTGGGCGAGGCTCTCTTTGACCTGCTGCGCCAGTGCTCCGCCCGGTCGCTGGCCCTGCATGTCCTCCTCACCAAGATGGACCAGGTTGCTCCGGATGGCCAGTGGCAGGAGGCCTTCGGCGAGCGCGTTCGCACGGTCTTCTCCAAGGAGCTGTGCGTCTGGAGTTGCGGATGCCTCGCTCTTCTCCTTTCTCCCCCTCTGCTCCCCCTTCGCATTCTCCCCTCTCGCTGTTCCCGCGCCATCCGCGAAAGCAACTGACATCCCGCTCCCCCTCCCCCACCCCCCAGTCGGAGCCAGTTCAAGACCCGTGACTCCCTGAATGCCATCTCCATTTCGGCCGGCGAGCGTCTGGACCTGGAGCCTCTGGCCGCGGCACTCGGCGCCCCGGGCGGGCATCTGCAGCCCATCGACTTCGACGGGCTCGGGATCACCTTCGGCTTTGCGGGGGGTCTGGGCCCGGAGGCTGCCAACCCTGATGCCCCGCTTTCCTGGTATCCGGACCTGCGGGCCTTCTTCGAGGCGCACTCCACCAACTAGAGCCTGGGAACATGTCTCCCCTGTCAACCTCCTCTCTTTTCTTTCTCCCTTGCTCCCTCCCCCTCTCCATTTCTCTCTCTCTCTCTCCCACCCGGCTGGGTGTCCACCAAAGTAGAGGACGCCATCTGCTTGTTTTTTTTTCTCTCCAAGAATCAGCACCGGAAAAGAAGGGCGCAACACCTGTCCACCAGCGCACTTGCATTTTCGCATACACACACATACATACATACACATGCAGAGGGTTGTTCATGGACAGGGGAAGGGCAGGCGGAAAGGTGACACCCTTCCAGGCCGAGGGATGATGCAGGCCGCCCAAAACTACAACAGGAGGCGCAGCTTCTCACTCCGCGGCACAACATTGATGGCCACACGGCCATCATACGAGACCGAGGCCAGGATCCAAGGTTCAGAGGCAGACCACCGGGCCGAGTACACCGACTCCTCATGGGGGGTGTACGTGTGAACCGGCCCGGCGCGGCTGCGCGAGGGGGTGGGACTGGAGGCCGGAAGGCCGGAGTCCGAGTGCGTCGACCTGTTGCCCGCGTGGGCGCATGCAGCAGCAGCAGGTCAGTAAAGGGCATCCCTGCGGCACGGGAAAGGGGCAGGTGGACGGGGGCGCGGGAGGGAGCGAGGGGAGGGCCATGTCGCGGAGGAGCAGGAGGGGAAAGGGAAAGGGCAAACCATGCGGACGCACTCGCCGGCAGAGTAGCTCGACGATCCGGACACATGCGACCCGACATTCTCGAGATGCACGCGTGAGTCGGAGCCGGCGCTCAGGAGCAGCTCATCATAAAAGTGGTTGTACTCCACGGACCAGACCCTGAGCCGGGGCGGAATCGCGTGTGGGCAAGTCAGCTTGTGCAGGGCCCAGCACATGGGATGGGGAGAAATCCGCGCGTCGTACCAGTGCGTGTGGGAAAGGGTGGTCTTCACCGGCCCGGAGCCCATGTTGCGTATGTCCCAAATCCGGACGGACCCGTCATCGCCCCCGGATGCGAGAAACGACGCGGCCAGGGGGTTATGGTCGACTGCGCGAACGGGGACCTTCAGGCCGTGGGCCGAGGTCGTCCGAATGGCAGGCCTGAATGTGCATATGTGCGTGCATATGTGTGTGCATAAGTGTGTGCATATGTGTGTGTGTGTGTGTGTGTGTGCATGTGTGTATGCGCATGCGTGTTCCGTCAGAAAGGCTGCCCACCGGATGAGCGAGGCCAAAGGGAAGAGGGGGAACCCACCGCTTACTGCGGATGTCCCACACCGTGAGGGAGCCATCCTGAGCCGAAGTGACAATCTGCGCGTCCTGGTGGGGGTTCCACGAGCAAGCCAGCAGGGGGCTGGGGTTGGCCACGCCAAAGTCCGCCGTGGAGATGGTGGCCGTGCGATTGGCTGGAGCCGGGTTGGTGGCCGTGGCAGTGGATCCGGCGAAGTTGAACAGGCACAGAGCCCCAGCCTGGTCGATGGTGGCAAACTCACCCTGGCTGTTTGGGTTCCAGATGACTCTGTTTCGGTGGCGCGTGCGTGTGCCTGTGCGTAAGCATGGCGGACGAAGAGGAGGAAAGGAGGGCGGCAGAAGGGGGGAAGGGGCAGGGGAGGAGGCCACCGGGAAGCGCAGGTCTGGGGGAGGGCGCACTTGTTGACCTGCGACTTGAGGCCGGACAGGGAGGCAATCATCTTCAGAGGGGGGCTGTTGTCGCCGGGATTTCCACTTGCCGGCAGAGAGGGCGAGCCCGGGGAGAAGGGGAAGGTTGCTCCCCAGACGGTGACAAAGTTCTCGCCGGAGGCTGGCGGGGTGTCAGGCTTCTTTTGTCTTGGCAGCGCGGGGGAAAGAGCGGAAGGGAGGGAGGGAGGGAGGGGGGGGGGGCAAAGGCTAAAAGACGCCGAGAGCAACATCAGCCCCGCCACCTATCAAGCAGGGGCACATACCGGCATCGACGCTGGACGTGGCGAACCATGAGGAGTTGTGTGGCGAGGAGGAGATGTCGCAAATTTGCCCACGGGGGTGGTGGTAAAAGGAGGATCGGATGGGGCCGCAGCTGTCGCCGGCGTCGGCGGCCGGGTCCGCCGGCTCGGAGGACACCTCCAGAAGGTGGACCTCGGCCGGGCCGCGCGTGGTGGCCGACCCGACCAGGAATCGGGCCGCCTCGTCGGAGCCGACCCCGGTGGTAGCCGAGGAGGGCAGCGAGCACATGGCCATCGACGGATGCTTAATGCCGTAGAGGACTGCGCGCGGCTGCGGGGCAGGCGGCCGCGCCTGCGGCTGGCCGCCCTGGCTGAAGGACCCGGCGCCGCCGGGGAGGGGGGGCCTCTTGGTGGAATTGTGCGTGGAGGACATCTCTTCCGGGAGGTGGCGGTGGTGTGCAGGGGGGAGGGGGGGG